TCCTCTTCGATAAGAGCCAACTTCATATCGGTATTTAAATTAACATTATGTTATAATAAAATTACCTATAATTCTATAACTTTTATAACCTACCAACAGTTATAACGGCGATAGGTTCTTCAACTTTTTTTAAAATTCTCAGTGCTTGTTCATCTAACAAAATTAATCCTTCATCATAATCATCATCTAAACACATATAATTCAAAAGGTGTGTAGGATTTCCTGGACGACATGGAATGGTTTCAGAAAATGGATTTGATGACATGATTTTTAAATTATGAAAAAAAAACGTTTAAATTCATAATACTTTTAAGCTAACTTTATAGATGTACTTTAGGTACACAAACCGACTCATTTCAGCATTGTTATTAATGTTTTTGATGTTTGGATGTTCATTATTTTGCTCATTATATTATTTCCATAAAAAGAGATATGGGGTTCGTGTGCGTTTAATATATTGATCTACATACTGCATAATGATTCTTTGATATCTATATAATTAATAACCTTAACTGTATCAAGAAGTCACACAGTTTAAACTATCTCCAAATATGGTGTTTTGGTGATTTCTTTTCATTGGTGTTTTAATTGTGTTTATACATCTCGCATAAATTTTCTAAAAAGCTCAAAAATGTCAAACTGTGCAAAATTTTTTTCGGATTCTAAATTAAATGTCACAAACAATACATGTCCAAATTCAATGCATGAATTCTAAAAATTCATAGAATTCAAATTAAGAATTTTTGTCGAATTTAAATAAAGTTTAAAAGAGTCTTGGCACGGCTTCTATTTTGGGAGAGGCATATAAATACTGGTATTTTAAAAATTATTGCTGAAACATTAGGTATTAAATCACTACTGTAAAACACTAGAATACTAGAATACTAAAAGCGCTAGACAAAAAGAACACTGGAACGCTGAATATACTAAGAACGGAGGAATTATGTTGTATAATACATAATGTTTGTATACGCATTTTTGTGGCTTAAACAGTGAAACGCTGAGCTAGAGACACTATCAATAAAGACTGATATTTATAAATTTCTTTTTTTGGGATTAAAGTTCGTTAACCAATATTTAAAAAATATTGTCATGCATTTTGACGGATCCATATGTAAAAATTTAGTCAAACGTGCATTTATAGAGGTATTGCATTTTATGGAGGCAAAAATCTATGTGTTATATTGGTTGGGCTCAAGCGAAGACGTGCTGTAGGAGCTTTTCATAGGGCATGCATTTAGGGGGTTGCATTTAGAGAGGTCTGACTGCATCATAAAAATCGGAGGAATTTACACATAAAGGCCCAAAAATGAACATAATTACGGATGATGGCCCAAAATAAAAATTCTTACATATAGCGGCCCAAAATCAAAATTATTACAAATAAGGGCCTGGCCGATCTCTGAGCTGTACTAGGCGGATACGTATCATTTCACCGACAATCACTTCACCGACATCTTAGTTTAGCGACAATTAATTCACCGACAAGTTCATT